ACGCAAGGCTCTTCCCAGCAGAGTGTTTGCAAACCTTCTTTTGTCCTATTTTTTTTTTTAGTGAATTAAACAGCAGGGTTTTAAAAACTCTGTTATTGACCTGATCAGATCTTCAAGCTTTCAAATGTCAGAGTGCTGCATTATAAAAAGCAGTATGTTCACCCAAATACTGCTGGCTTTTCATTCATGTTGGGGAAGTTGGCAGAATAATTATTGACAGCTAATGCAAACATACACCTCTTTGTGCTTGATTTAACTTTCAAAGGTATAGAAAAATAGCAAAGTCTATTCATACAAACTAAAAATATACTTTTAGCTACATCATCTCTGATATAGCTGTTATTTCTCTAAGTGCTCATGTTTTACATAAACTAATTGGGATAATTGGGGTTTCACCTTTACAGGTTTAGTGTAAGACAGTGTAATATAGTTGTCTTGTTGAACTGAACAGGAGCAGCAATTTCTTATCCCACCACAGGCTGTTCTGTGGCAATGTGTATGCTTGTCAAAAATCTAACAAAGTTCTATCTCCATTAGTTGCGTCCTAAGAGACAGGCCCATAGGCTCCAATCTGAAAGGAGCCTGTGTGTAGATTTGACTCGGGTGCATTGGTTTAATTCTGCAAATCAGTGTCTGTGTGTGTGAACAATAACTAAGGCATGTCAGACCTGAGCTGCAAAATGCAACTCGTGTCAATGTGCAAAATGACTCCACATATTACCTTCCTTGCTCAAATGAAAAGCATGGGAACAAAAGCTCAGACCTCTATTAGTTACTAAAACAATCTCATGGGCTTAATGGACATACTGCTGTTTTTCCCTGTTGACCATTTTTCACCACATCTCATCTTCTCCCTAATCTTTACAAATGCCAACTTCTTTTTACATCTTCTCAGCTAATGGTACTATCTTTACCACTTTTTTCCTCTTAAACTGCACAATCAATCAATCAAACTTGACTTACCCAGAGCAAGCGTTTTCAATATTCACTTGATGTTTTGTTGTGTGAACTGAGTAAATGGGTTTTCGATTCCTTCCATCTACATCAGTCTAATGAGAAGTATTTACTTATGAGCGCTTCCCCCATTAGATATTCAGAGCAGGAAGTTATGACTATTGTAAACATCTGTGACATCTGTCCACCAAAGTCAGGAAAGCATTTAAAGAAAGGAGATCCCAAAGTAAACAGTCAGTGAGAGGTCATTCTTAAAGGCTAGTAAAATAGCTTTCCATCAGTTAAACAGTTCTGTGAGCCTCTGCTTTTAGATATATCCTTCATACACTCAGTACCACTTACATTGCCTCTAGGGTATGAAAGACAGTGAGTATAATCCTGAAATGCAGCATGGCAACTGAAATACCTTGAGAAATATCTTCTATACAAAGTAGTAATTCTTAAAGGTTCTACAAATGTGCTATGTTAAACATTTAAAACTAGATTGATAGCAAGTGTTTCTACAGAATTTAAAGATACACCTTTTAAAAGAAAAGATAGATACAGGGATTTTTCATCTGCATGCTATTGGAATAGCCACAAAGTCTGACACTTATCTACACAACCTACCCTAAATAATTATTCCCCTATCCCAGGAGTGATGCTAAAACTTATTTCAGTAATATTAAGGGCTTTTTCTTACCTCTTTAGGGGTGGGTTGTGGAGAATGATTGTATCTACATTGCCACTTGTATTTTAATGCAGCAGTGATACATCCCTCATGCAGAACAGGTTGGCTTTAATTCTAACTGCCATATGCAGCTGCCTCCCCACCTTACTGAGCAGTGGTAGGTGTATGATGATAACCATGTAGAAAGCAGTGAATTGTATCAGCAGGAGGGTAAGTCCCTAGTATCTGTTAGTTTTGGGTCAGACTTAGAAATTTGTCTTCTAAATTTCCAGGACATATCCAATTTTTCTTACATAAAGAATTCTGAACTAAAAAATAGCCTTATTTTAGGATATTTAAAACTGAAAAATAAGATACCATAAGAACTAAGATACCATAACTAACATGCCTTTTTTTTTTTCTTTCTTACAGACCAATTAGAAGAACCAGAATGTGGTAATACTTCATATGCATACAATTTTTACATAAAATTAATGTGACTTTTGATATTTTTGGTATCTTTGCCAGCTTTTCTCTTTCTAATGTCTCTTCACATTCTAACTTACTTCTCTCATTGTTTGCTTTCCTAGGTTTGCTGTAACTGCTAGGTTTTGCTGTAAGACATTGTGGGTTTTCACTAATATCAGATGTCTGTCTTGGACTTTGCTATCCCATTGCAAACTGTATGACTTATTTTTACTGCTGTGACACACCCACATGCACCACCCCTGCCTCCCCTATGTTGTTTGACAGGGCAAAATACTGTTTATGGGGCACCTGGCAAGTGCTGACTTTGAATTCCAGCAGATTTTCCATCTGCTAGAAAACTTCATCCCATAATTATATTTCCCAAAGGAGATATTTTGATGAGGATGCAGAATTATTTCCCTTCAGCATTTAGTTGCTAAGCTGTCACTATCATTATTCGTATTGTACTACATTTTTCTAAATACCAAGTTTCATATTTATGATTCTGCTAAACAGTTTCAGAAATTATATTCTAAGGAAACTGAGCTCTAAATTTGCAACTTCTATAAGCTCCTGTTGATATGCAGCTGTAAGCTTTACACTGACTGTGACTGCAAACTACATCCCTAGTCCCTGCCCTATTACCTTGGCTGGATAACAGCGGGAGGACTAAAGAAGTGGTGGCATGTCTGTCTTTTTTTTTTTTTTTTTTAAATATTCAACAGTGTCAGTACTAGGAGAATTTAGATCAATAACCACATCAATCATCACAAACTTGGTAATTTCGAGAAAGTTAATCTGTGCCAGCAGAGAATCAGGGTTGGTATTTGATTGAAAGAAGAAACCTTATTACACATTACACAGGCATGGCTGGCCAGACAGAGATAACATGGACAGGGGAACAGGACCTTTGCAGGCACCTCACAGCACCCACATGACACTTCAACAATTCAAATAGCTCAGTCTTACTCTTCCCCTGCCTCCAGCTAACCTACCTTAGCTTTCCATCAGGACATAGGCATACCCTTACTCAACTCACATGCATGCTCAAAGTCACAGCTCCCCTAGACCTTAAGTCCATCCAGTATCCATGCCCAGACCTTGGGCCCTGTATTCAGCCTCCAGTTCAGACCTTGGGTCTTTCCAGATTCTGGTCTTCTCCTGCTTACCAGCTAGTCTGAAATGTAATTCATTGCCAGATCTCTCTCGCTCATGTATATACGGAAAGAACAGAGAATATACAGTCAGAGTATACTTCTTGAGTATACACTCGGACATAAACCAGTTTGAATTAACGCTGGACTTCAGTTAGATTGGTGTTGGATCAGGTACAGGGCCTGGCTAGGCAAGCGTACTGATCAGCAACCTGCTTACATGTGGCAAGTCCTGTTTATCCCCACTCCTCCAGTCTCCCACACTTGTTCCTCCCTGATCCTTCTTGATCTCTCTTTCCCCACCTCTGGCTTGTCTCCTAGACATACTGTTAAGAAAGTGCAGTATGTTTACATAATATTTTCCTAACAGCATCTTCTACTGATAAATGTTTTTGTTGGTCTATCAAAGATCTCTGTGTGCATGCACATATGAAGTTGTGATCTGTAATTTATTTTTGAATTTCAGAAATTCAATGTTCACACTCTAGCACAGGATCCACTAGCAAGAATGGCAAGATAGAAGAATTCCTGAAGAACTTCAAGAATTTGGAGGCCACTCAGGCAGAAGAGCCAACTACTGAAGTAAAAGATTCTGCTAGCTCTCCAAGTATAGAAATCTTTCCTCCACCTGAAAGACCTTGCTTCCACATAAGTCAAGATGATGTTCAAGCATCTGACATCTTTGAGTCATTGTTACTCTTCTTAAATAGGAAAGAGTATGAGAGAAACTTCAAAAGCCTGTATGATTTCTCTTACACATTTATCAATAGCATGTTTTATGGATTTTCAGAAGAAGAAGAACTGGTTAGCTTTTTTAGACTAGCAAGGGAATCGGCAAAGAAATCTGGTATGTCCTGGGCACTAGCAAGGCTATGCTTTCTCTTAGGCAGGCTCAGTGTTAAAAAGTTGAAGTTTTCCCAAGCTCGGGTGTATTTTGAGGAAGCGTTGGGAGCAGTAGCTGGAGGGTTTAGTGATTTGTACTTTGTAATTGCTCTTTATACAAATCTAACAGTCATCTACTTGACACAGAAGAACAAAGAAAAATGTGCTCATGTTTTTGACAAGGCTACATCTCTTCTCATGGGAATTCCCAACTACATTTCCAGTGCTGACCTGGAGTCAGATATTCTAAAGTATGCTCTGAAGAGGACAATTTTGAGCCAGAACAAACATGCAGAGGCAAGGGCATGCTTTCTACTGGCAAAACATTACAATGCACGCAAACAGCATGAAGAGGCACTACCATTCTTGGAAAGGTTTCAACTGTTGCTTAATGACTTGGGTTTACAAAACAGCTTATCAAACAACTGTTATTTCAAACTAGCGGAGTCCTACAATGAAAAGTGTTTACCGCACATTGTATTAAGTTGCATAAAGGTCGCCTCTTCCCAGAGTTCCAGTACTTTAATGGATTCCTTGAAAAGGATTGATTTAGTCATCAGAAATGCTCCCAAGCTCTATGGCCTGAGAAAACTCAGACAAATACTCCCATCCCAAATTGCACCTTACCTCATACAAGCACTTTCCTCTGTGTTTACTAATGAGCACCAAGGACTATGCAGCACTATCTATCTTAGCTTAGCAAAACTGTACAGCCACCACAAACGGTATGGAAAAGCCATTGTTTACATGATGAAAGCACTGGACTCTGATGTTTCTGCTAAGCCAGAGGAAACTATTAACCATTTGGTTTCACTTGCTTGGCTATACATTCTTTACAGGCAATACGATGTGGCCTTAGCCATTTTAAATGCTGTTGTAGACTCTTCATGGAGCAATCCTCAACAACAAGGCATCGCTTATAATATGCTTGCTATTGCTTTGAAAAGAACAAGCAATACAAAAGAAGCTGCTGAGAGCTACCACAAAGCATTGCGTCTCTCAGAAGAGACCAATATGACCCATAACCAAGCTATAGCCCTAGCTAATTTTGGGACACTCTGCCTGCATGCAGCAGCCAGCAAGCTGGCAGAACATTATTATATCAGGGCAGTGAAGCTATTCTCCAAACTTCCAAGTATGGACTGTGGCCAAGACTTTATCCAAGTCCTCCTTCAGTTGGGATGTTACTATGTTGGTGGAACTCAAAGAGAAAAGGGAAGGTTTTATTATGAATGGGCTTTTTTAGTTGCAATGGAGACAAGTCATCTGGAAAGTAAGTACATATTTTTTTCTCTCAAAGTTATGAAATACACCCTGTTTGGGAATGTTTGTTATATAGGTATGTTATAGTTGTTCCTAGGTATGTTATAGTTGTTCCTTAAACAACACTTTATGTCCAATTATGATAGCTATCAAAGGGATTGAAATTTTTGCTCTGTCCCATAATGGTGGAGAAATAAATACATGTTGCCTTGCACTTCTGGTTGTACTTAGGTTTGTCAGAAAAGATAGAGAAAACAAAATGTTAAGAAAAAATCAAGTAACTTAATTAGTAAAAAGTCTAGAGATTTCTATGTTCAATAATATTTACAATAGTTATGATATTGGTAGTACAAACAGTGCCAGACTTGAGTTTAAAAGTATGAAAGCAACAGTAATCTGGATTACTTTGCATAAAATAGTTGTATTTAGAAGACCCATGCTTTATTTATTCTTGCTATGATTGAGGCAGCTTATGCAGGTAAGGTGACTTCTATTTTATTTTGGAGATCAAGTTTGACGTAACCTCTCTGTTAACTTTGGGGGTGAAGAAACTGGCAATGGAATCTTCTTGTTATGGCTTTTATATTGTTGTTCATTTACTGGGCTGAATATGTGAAAAAGTAAGAATGAATTATTTTAAAACTAATTCAACTTTCATTTTAAAATAGAGATTCCATAGCATTTCCAATCTATTCCCCTAGGTCAACTACAAGCAATTAAACTGCTGTGTCAGTTCTATAGTACAGTTGTTCCCAATGAAGCTCAGTGTGTCATCTACAATGAATATCAACTATCTTTGGCTAGAAAGATGTCCAACAAAGTTCTGGAGGGGCAAATTTTGGAAACCATTAGTCAGCTCTATTTGTCTTTAGGAACAGAAAGGTAAGACATGCTGAATGACTTTGCTATTATTCTGATTGTATCTTTTCTGTCATGCTAAAGGATCTGAATTTTTCCAGTAGCTGAATCATAGAATCATAGAATGCTTTGGGTTGGAAGGAACCTTTAAAGGTCATCTAGTCCAACCCCCTGCAATGAGCAGGGACATCTTCAATTAGATCAGGTTGCTCAGAGCCCTGTCCAACCCGACCTTGAACGTTTCCAGGCATGGGGCATCTATAACTGCTCAGGGCAACCTGTTCCCATGTTTCACCACCCTCATTGTAAAAGAAGTTTCTTCCTTTTATCTCGTCTAAATCTACTATCTTCTAGTTTAAAACCATTGCTCCTTGTCCTGTTGCAACAGGCCCTGCTAAAAAGTCTGTCCCCATCTTTGTTGTAAGTCCTCCTTTAAGTACTGAAAGGCTGCAATAAGGTCTCCCCGCAGCCTTCTCTTCTCCAGGCTGCACGACCCCAACTCTCTCAGCCTGTCCCTGTAGGAGAGGTGCTCCAGCCCTCAGATCATTTTGGTGGCCCTCCTCTGGACCTGCCCCAACAGGTCAATGTCTTTCCTGTGCTGAAGGCTCCACAGCTGGATATGACCTGAATATGACTGGGTTTTTTCCACTCTGTTTTGCAAATACACTTGATTAGATTTAAAGGGTCCAGTGCTAGTAGAGATGTCTCTTGGTTTTTTTAAGTAACTGTCATCTCTCAAGGGAGACAAGATGTTCGGCAGGGATTAGCACCACTTCAAGAGCCAAATTATTTTAAAAATCTATGTAAATACGCTTAAAAAGCATTATATGTTATGCAACTCTTGAGGAGTGCTATAGCTCTAGGATTATTGCTGGCAGATGACTTGTTTGCAATGATAGATTTTTACAAGACAATTTTTCCATTAGAAGCCAAGTGACATATTCCAGACAGGTCATACATCAAATTGTCTCTGTGTAAGTTTCCTCTTTGAGGAAATGCTTTTTTCAAAACTTATATAAGCACAAATCCTATGTGCAAAACTGCATAGTGTCAGTCTCCAGCAATTTCTATTTCTGCTCTTATTTTCAGAATACCAATTTTTTGCTTTGCTTTATTGAAAAAACAGAATGCACAAGTCAATTTATAGTAACTAACAGGTGCTGGGGAAACTTACATGTTTCTCTAGACAACTTTTAAAGTGCTTTTAAGGCAGCTTTGATTCCCCCCCCCCCCCCTTCTG